GTGCAACGGGTGTTGCTCCAACGCACCCAGCCACGCTAATAGAAACATGCGCTTTCACACACACATATGACATGCATCTGGGATTTGCGTCGCTTGAGCATGGATGATATGGGCAAGCTAGGTGTTCAGTGCGGATGAAAGTTCTCCCTGGTGTCATAATTCAGGCTATATTGAACGCGCCATACCTTATTGCGCCATGGTGTTCGTATTTGAGAGAAGACGTTTCGGGGACGCTTGCCTGAAAAACCCTTTTCGAACGGGGGGGCCCCATCCCAGTTGAACCCCCCCTGGAACTCAGGGGGGGCCCTGTGCGCGTCTTAGTCGTCGCCTTGGTCGCCGTGAGCGTGGCCGACGCCATCACCGTCGCCGACGCCGTCGCCGTCGCCGTCGTCGTCACCGTCGTCGTCGTGGTCGTCGGCGCCGTCGTTGTCCTGGTTGTCATCGCCGTCGTCGTCGTCGTCGTCATCGTCGTCGTCACCTGTCGCCGTCACCATCACCGTCGGCGTCGCCGTCTCCGTCGTTGTCGCCGTCGCCGTCGCCGCCGTCGCCGCAGTCGCAGTCGTCGTCGTCGTCGTCGTCGTCGTCGTCGTCGTCGTCGTAGTCGTCGTCGTCGTCATCGTGGTCATCCTCGTCGTCGGCGTCGTCGTCGTCGCTGTCGTCGCTGTCGTCGTCACCAGTCGTCGTCGCCGTCGTCGCCGTCGTCGTCCTTGTCGTCGCCGTCGCCGTCTTGGTCGTCATCGTAGTCGTCGTCGTCGTCGTCGTCGTCGTCGTCGTCGTCGTCGTCGTCATCGTCGTAATCGTCATCACCAACCGTCAACCTCGTCGTCGCCGTCGCCGTTGCCATCGCCGTCGCCGTCGCCATCTCCGTCGTCGTCGTCGTCGTCGTCGTCATCGTGATCATCCTCGTCGTCGTCGACGTCGTCGTCGTCATTGTCGTCGCCGTCAACGTCGTCACCAGTCGTCGTCGCCAGTCGTCGCCGTCGTCGTCGCCGTCGTCGTCTTGGTCGTCATCGTAGTCGTCGTCGCCGTCATCGTCGTGGTCGTCGTCACCAGCCGTCGTCCTTGTCGTCGCCGTCGCCGTCGCCGTTTCCATTGCCGTCGCCATCTCCGTCGTTGTCGCCGTCGCCGTCTCCGTCGTTGTCGCCGTCGCCTTCGCCGCCGTCGCTGCAATCGCCGTCATCGTCGTCGTTGCCGTCGCCGTCATCGTCGTCGCAATCGTCGTCGTCGCCAGTCATCGTCGTCGTTGTCGTCGTCGTCCTCGTCGTCGCCGTCGCCGTCGCAAGCGCCGCGTCGCAATCGCCGTCGCCGTCGCCGTCGCCGTTCCCATCGCATTCGCCGTCGCCTTCGCCGTCGCCGCCACTGTCGTTGTCGCCATCGTCGTTGGCATGGTCGTGATCGTCGTCGTAATCGTCGCCGTCGCCGCCGCCGTTGCTGTCGTCGTCGCCGTCGTCTTCGCCGCCGCCACCGTCGTTGTCGTCGTCATCATCGTCACGTCGCCGACGCCGACGCCGACGCCGACGCCGTCGACGTCGCTGTCCCTTTCGCCGTCGACGTCGCCGCCGACGCCGTCGTTGTCGTCGTCATCGTCGTCATTGGCTCCGTCGTGGTCGTCGTCGTAGTCGTCATGGTCGTAGTCGTCATTGTCGTCGTCGTCGTCGTCGTCGTCGTCGTCGTCGCTGCCCAACGGCGCTGGCGACGGCGCTGGCGACGGCGCTGGCGCTCGCCGTCGTCGGTTGCAGGTGGGGGGGCCCCCCTCGTCGTCGCTGCCCAACGGCGCCGGCGCCTAAACCGGCGCTCGCTGTCGTCGCCCCCCCCCCTGGTTTGAAGCCACCCCTTGCAACTTTGGGGTCAGGGCTCTGGCCCACCCCCCCTTGGTTCGATCCCCCCCCTGGGTTCGACCCCCCCGTGCAACTCAGGGGGGGCCCCTCACGGTTCGAACCTCCCTCATTTCCAAGCGTACACAGATCGCTCTCTTTCTCATATTTGTTGCAGCCACTTGTCTGGCATCGCAGATTTCGTCGTACCAGCGCCCCCGCGCGCGGGTGGCACGTGCCAACTGCGCGCTTATGGTGCACTCCCTCGAGACTTGTTGATTTCCCGTGTGTGTTTTTCGAAACGGGGAGACCGCGTGGCGTGGAGCCCGCGGCGCGACATCGGCTCGTGGAGGCCAACGTTGTATTTCCCAACCATCCTGTGGTGTTGGGTCCTCGTTTTGAAGAGACAGCGCTCCGCGTCCCACCTCCTCCTCCTCCTCTCTCCTCCCCCTCCTCCCTCCTCCCATCATCATCATCATCACCATCATCATCATCATCATCATCATCATCATCATCATCATCGTCATCATCATCATCATCATCGTCATTGTCATCGTCGTCATCGTCATCGTCATCACCCACTTCGGCACACCCCTCACACGTTTCGTGGCCCCATAGGGAGCTCCACCGAAGGCCCGAGGGCTGCCGCCCGCATGCGTCCCCTACACCCATTTCGGCACACCCCTCACACGTTTCGTGGCCCCATAGGGAGCTCCACCGAAGGCCCCATGGCTGCCGTCCGCATGCGTCCCGCACACCCATTTCGGCACACCCCTCACACGTTTCGTGGCCCCACAGGGAGCTCCACCGAAGGCCCCAGTGCTGCCGTCCGCATGCGTCCCGCACACCCATTTCGGCACACCCCTCACACGTTTCGTGGCCCCATAGGGAGCTCCACCGAAGGCCCCATGGCTGCCGTCCGCATGCGTCCCGCACACCCATTTCGGCACACCCCTCACACGTTTCGTGGCCCCACAGGGAGCTCCACCGAAGGCCCCATGGCTGCCGTCCGCATGCGTCCCGCACACCCATTTCGGCACACCCCTCACACGTTTCGTGGCCCCATAGGGAGCTCCACCGAAGGCCCCATGGCTGCCGTCCGCATGCGTCCCGCACACCCATTTCGGCACACCCCTCACACGTTTCGTGGCCCCACAGGGAGCTCCACCGAAGGCCCCAGTGCTGCCGTCCGCATGCGTCCCGCACACCCATTTCGGCACACCCCTCACACGTTTCGTGGCCCCATAGGGAGCTCCACCGAAGGCCCCATGGCTGCCGTCCGCATGCGTCCCGCACACCCATTTCGGCACACCCCTCACACGTTTCGTGGCCCCACAGGGAGCTCCACCGAAGGCCCCAGGCTGCCGTCCGCATGCGTCCCGCACACCCATTTCGGCACACGTTTCGTGGCCCCACAGGGAGCTCCACCGCCCCACCGTCGGCCCCACAGGGAGCTGACCGCACACCCATTTCGGCACACCCCTCACACGTTTCGTGGCCCCACAGGGAGCTCCACCGAAGGCCCCATGCCGTCCGCATGCGTCCCGCACACCCATTTCGGCACACCCCTCACACGTTTCGTGGCCCCATAGGGAGCTCCACCGAAGGCCCCATGGCTGCCGTCCGCATGCGTCCCGCACACCCATTTCGGCACACCCCTCACACGTTTCGTGGCCCCACAGGGAGCTCCACCGAAGGCCCCAGTGCTGCCGTCCGCATGCGTCCCGCACACCCATTTCGGCACACCCCTCACACGTTTCGTGGCCCCATAGGGAGCTCCACCGAAGGCCCCATGGCTGCCGTCCGCATGCGTCCCGCACACCCATTTCGGCACACCCCTCACACGTTTCGTGGCCCCACAGGGAGCTCCACCGAAGGCCCCAGTGCTGCCGTCCGCATGCGTCCCGCACACCCATTTCGGCACACCCCTCACACGTTTCGTGGCCCCACAGGGAGCTCCACCGAAGGCCCCATGGCTGCCGTCCGCATGCGTCCCGCACACCCATTTCGGCACACCCCTCACACGTTTCGTGGCCCCACAGGGAGCTCCACCGAAGGCCCCAGTGCTGCCGTCCGCATGCGTCCCGCACACCCATTTCGGCACACCCCTCACACGTTTCGTGGCCCCATAGGGAGCTCCACCGAAGGCCCCATGGCTGCCGTCCGCATGCGTCCCGCACACCCATTTCGGCACACCCCTCACACGTTTCGTGGCCCCACAGGGAGCTCCACCGAAGGCCCCAGTGCTGCCGTCCGCATGCGTCCCGCACACCAGGTGTGTGGCGTGCCGACATGGGCGTCGCGGCGCGCGGGCGCTGCCGTCGGGGTTCCCAGGGAAGCCCCCTGCAGAGGCGACGCTCAGAGTCACGAGTACCGAGAGTCACGCAGACCCAAACTGTTCACAGTCGTATACATACATTTACACTGGGCGTATCCATGCACGCATTCATGCGAATAGAATCAATCGCGCGCAGATTCATTCATAATCAGACTCGCTCGCGATCCGACTCGCACGCGCTCAAGCTTTCATATTCGGACCTATCGTCTTCGTTCGTGTTGTGTACACTGCCACGCATTTCGGCACACCCCTCATACGGCTCGTGGCCCCATAGGGAGCGCCACCGAAGAAGATATTCACAATTGCGGTACTCTCAACTGCATATGGTTGGGTCCTTCGCCAAGCTAATTTTTGCTGGCGCCGTGGCGCGTGCATGTAGATGAACCACCCCCTGGCTATCTTTCTCTCTCTCTCTCTCTTTCTCTCTCTTTCTCTCTCGCTCTCTCGCTCTCTCTCTCTCTCTCGCTCTCTCGCCCTTATCTTTCTTGATTGCGCTGTACATCTCTCTCTCTCTATATATATATATATATCGCTCTCACTCTCTCTCTCTCTCTATCTACATCTCTCGTTCTGCCCCCTTCTATTATGTGTGTACATGACTATACCCCCTCTGGGCCCCATGGGGCGTCTCGAGGTCCTGGTCAGAACGCGCTTCAGGACACCTTGCGGGCTCAGGAGGGGTAGCCGTGCACGTCTGAGACGCATCAGCGTCCTCAAACGACGATGCGTAGCAAACTGCCAGCGGCAACGCCCGGTGGGAGAAAAAAATGTGGAAAGGCACCTCCTCGAAAAGACAGAGTGGAGGAGCAACCGACATCACATTCCCGGTCCTCCTCCTCCCGGCGGTCCTGTTGAAGTGCGAGCCGACGGACCTGATGGAGGTGGGGCCCGCTCGCACCGAGGCGTACGCACCGTCGCCTCGCCCGTCGCCTCGACTTGGCGTCTCCTTCGGGCAGACTAGCCGCTGCGGCGACGACGAGGACAAGGACGAGGACCACCAAGACGACGACGGCGACGGCGACGACGACGACGACCACGACGGCCACGACCACGACGGCCACGACCATGACGACGACCACGACAGGGGCGAAGGCTACGATTGCAAGAGAAAAATATGTAACGACTCGGAAGTGGTCTGTCCCATGGGGCCTCCCAGAGGGACCTCGGCCCCACGGCTGCCATCCGACTCGAAATTTCGTTCAGGGCGAGTTCCAGGAAGAATGGCACAGGGGAAGTCGAGGTGAACAAGGAGGCCGGGGAAAGGGACAGGGGGCGGTTGGTGGTTGGCCCCTGCTCTGGAGGGAGGCGGAAGGGAGGAAAGGACGGACGACTGGCCGGGGGGGAGGGAACGGGTAGAGGAGAGCATCGGGAGAGGGGAGGAAGGGGTGGAATGAGGCAAGAGGGGGGTGGAGTGAGTGAGGGAGAAGGGGGGGGAAGGAGAAAGAGGGAGGGGGAGAGGGGTGCTAGCAGAGTGGGCGGGGAGGGGAGAATGGAAAATACAAAAGGAAAGGGTGGAGAGGGGCAAGGACGAGTGCGGGGGCGAAGAGGAGACCAACGAACGAGGGGACCGGCACAATCTTGATACCTGTCACAAGAATTCTAGGAATCTGGGGTCTGCGGCCCGCACGGGCGCACTACTCAATGCGGACACTTCGAAAGGACCCGAACGCACTCCACTCAGTCCCCGCCGCAAAGGAGGCGGATGTGTCTCTTGACTCGGCCGCTATGTCTCGGCCAGCGTCATGCACAGCGTCAATACGACGCAGTTGTTGCTAGGCCCAGACAGGTGCGGCCCCAAGAATCCTTCCACTAAGCCCAAAGGGGCCGCCAAGTTGCTTCAATCCCACGACCCACGAAGGGTGGCACGATGAGCCGAAGGCCGCCATATGACAGCACTGGCTTGGCATGCCTACTTGGATCCCTAGCCGCATTGCCCTTGCTTGCTCAGCCTATGCCTTACGTGCCGGATTTCCCCATGGCCTCGCATGTTTCCGCGCGTGCCAGCTTGCGTGGGCTGCTTGCCGCCATGCTTGCGTGCGCATACATTTCTTGCAGATTCGCCTGCTTGCATTCTTGGCGTGGGCCGTGCTCGAGACGATTCCGAAAACAAGTCAAGACGAACCCGCAATCACGTGTGCAATGGGGGCCTTGCGCTGGTGCTGTACCACCCATCGAAACATTCTCCTCCGAGAAACTCCAGGCAACTTGAAGATGTAATGCCCGGACCGCAGGGGGTGGACACTGAGAACGCAGCAGAAGCAAATTCAGGCAACATGTCGATCTTGGGAAGAGGGACGGATTGACGGGTGATAGGGCCAGATGCGTGACCAGAAGAATTCGTTCAATTCCATGGCTCTGGCGCCGCGTGTTTTTGTTATTGGATGTGGAACTGAAAACAAATGGGCCATTCAGCTACCGCAGCATTCTCTGGAGCCGACTGCTGATAGTCCTAGACCCTAGAGGCCCTCGGCGAGAGGCCGAGAATGAAAAAGCAACCACCTCAGCTACTTCGAGCTGTCCGGTCTCTGGGGATCCAGGACGTTCTGGCCCTCTCATGTGGGGTGTTTACCATGAGCTTGTAGAGATGTCAAACTTTGCACTGTCAGTCTGAGCCCCCGTGGTCACGCGAAAACGAGAAAGGCGGACCCCGAAGTTCTGAAAGACGCCAGAGGCCTGGACACCTCCTCGAATTTCCTCGTCGTCGCCGTCCTCACTCGTCGTCGTTCCCGTCGTCCTCGATGTCGCTGTCCTCCTCTGCGTCGGCGCAGTCGTGGGCAGCGTCGTCGGCGTCGTGAACGTTGCTGTGGTCATCGCCGTGGTCGTCGTCCACGCTCGCCATCCTCATATCGGCGCCGTCGGCTTCGACGTCGGCGCCAGGGTCGCCATGGTCGTCATCATGGTCGTGGTCGTCGTAGCCGTCGTGGTCGTCGTCAGCGCCGCCCGCCGCGGGCGCCTGCAGCGACGGCACGGAGTTGTCGTCCAGGAGGGGCGCACACTGGTTCTCGATCGCTGCCTCGTGGGCGTCAGTGCCTGGGTGCGCGCGCGCGGGGACACGCGCGTCGAGAGAGCGCGGGCCAAGCGAGGCAGACAGACCTGACTGGGTGGACTGCGGCGGGTCCTGCAATGACGACGTTGAGGTTGGCCTCCCACTCTGCCTAGATCGCTCGAGGCTGGGGCTCGCGTTGCTGCCACGTCGGCGTTCCTTCTCAGTAGCGCGTCCCAAGGGGTTCTAGCCCGCTCCGGTAGGGCTTCCGGCTGTGCACAGGCAGCCCCCGCAGGTAGTCCCCGCTGGCCTTAATTCAACATCCCCCGGGGTAGTCCCAGCTGGCCTGAACAGGCCCCACGAGTATTCCCGGATGGTCTCAACACCCCAACCCTGGGGCGCGCGGGTGTTGAGACTGCCCAGGACTACTCGGGGGGGGGCTATTGAGGCCAGCTGGGACTACTAGGGAAGCTTGTTGCGGCCAGACAGGACTACCTGGGGGAGCTGTCTGTGCGCAACCCGAGGCCTTAACAGCAGCCTCATCCCACTCACTGGGCAAAGTTTTCATCCCGGGGCGATCTTCGATGGTCTCCGGGGGCCTAGCGCGGTCTGGTCGCGGACGTTCCGGCCATCGCGGTGGGAAGGGGGAGGCGAGCGCGACGAGCGGCAGCAAGCATGCGCCGAGTGATCGGGTCGAGGGCAGATATACGAAGCGCCCAGCAGTTTCAGGTAAAAGTGCGGGGTTGGGCGCGGGGTGGGCCGCGGGGTGGGTTGCGGGGGGTGTCGCGGGGGGTCGCGGTGTGGACGACAACAACAAACAGCAACGAACAACAACCACAACAACGTCAGCAACAACAGCAATGCTTATAAACTATGTTCGCTCGTATCTGCTCGCGTGTGACTAAACATGGAAGTCCCCAGCCCTCGATACCCGGTCTCTTCGTCTTCGATCGTGCCCTCCCGCAGCGGAGATACCTTCCCTACCTGCGACGTGTAGTTGGCGCAGCCCCTAAAACAGGAAGAGGAAGGAACTGTAAAACACATGTAGCGAGGAGGTGCAGAAAAGGGAAGGAGGAGGGAAGGGACAGGGGGAAGGGAGAAGGGTGGAGGGCGAGAGAGATCAGCAGGAGGGGGTTACAGGCAGGAAAACAAGCGGCAGAAACAGACGGCAGGTCGGGCTGGCGGACCCTAACGAGCGGATCCTGACGGTCGGGTCGAGCGGGCGGGTCGCTGAAGCGTCAGTCCTGCATGAATCGCCAGGACGTGTCGAGCGGTAGTGCGATTCCCAAGGAGATCGTGAGGAAGCGAGAATGTGATTCCCGAGGGTCGAGGGCGCGGCGACTGAATAAATTGCGAGGAAGGCCCAGGCGAGAGAAGTATCCCGCGGGAGACCCTGTTCTAAACCGAGGACCAGGAACTCAATCTGATGACCTAGACTTTCCAATTTAGAATACCGGGTGCGAGCCCCCGGACGGGGCACTTCAACGAGAAAAACACAATGGGCACCGGAAAGGGAGGATCAACAACAAGAACTGAAAACACAAACAAAAAACAACAACAAACGCAAACAAACAACAAAAAGCAAACACAAACAAGCATGACCCGGGCCACGTAATCCAACTTCATCCACGCACCCAGTGATGGGGTAAGACCGTTCGGCCCCCTGTCTCCGATCGCGAACGAAGGGGCAAGGCGAGGGCGAACGGAACGAGTTTGAGCTCATCTGGGGGGGGGGGTCTGTTAGGCACGTATACAAATTTCACGGCGCAAGAGAAGTCCGTGCACAGGCGCAGCTTGTTGAACGAGGGATACTTCAGGGGGTGTCGAGGAGAGGCAAGGCGAGCGATGACGAGGAGAGCGAGGGGAGGGACCAGGGCAAAATGCGGTGCGGAGCCAGGGCAGGACGGGAGGACAGGAGCGAAATGCGGTTGAGGAGCCAGGGCAGGACGGGAGGGGAGGAGGACAGGACGAGACGGGAGGGAATACTTAGAAGAGGGGCTGGGGGGCTGGAGTTTAGTGCCCCTTCCTGAAGACACGCGCCCTCATCCCGAGTTGACTGTTGTCGTTGGCGGCCCCGAGGTGGGGGCTACTCGGCTACTCGGAGGCTTGGGCGTTGCTCAACGAGGGGGGGCGATACATGGGGGTGGGGGGCGAAGAAGCGTGTACCGTTCGTGCCCCTTGTGGGCCCTTCTGGGGTTCCAAGGCGTACTTTTCTTCATCCCCCCCGCGTATCGCCGCCGCCATGCCGCAACGCCCGAGAGGCGGCCGACGGACACGTCACCGGCAGGCGCGTCCAGCCCGGCATGGCGCCCAGCGTAAAGTTCTCCGCCGTCGGCCCGCATCCTGTCCGCGGCGCGACCACCACGGCCGGGGCCCCCAGCACGGCGGCCCACCTCTGGGCACGCAGAGCGGCACGCGTTGAGCGACGGAGGAAACGGGGCCTCATGCACGAGGGCGCGGTGGCCATGCGCGGTGGCTCACGCGGGTCGCCAGCGCAGACCGCGCGGAGAAGAAGGCGCTCCCGCGCAACCTCAGGCGGGCAGCTTGCGAGCGAAAGTCCACGCACTCGGCCCCACTGCTCCCGTCGCCACATTGAAAGTGGCGCGCGCAAAAGGCCGACGACGTCGACGTCGTTTCCTAGGGTTTGGGGGGGCTTCCATTGGGCTCTGGCAGCCTCGGCTCGACGCAGCTCGAAAAACTGGTGAGCGGAGTGGCCTTGCAAGAGGGCAAGAAGGGCTTCGCTTCATGGGAGGGCCCGTGGCCTTGTGCGCGGGCTTCTTGCAGGGCGGGACGGGCTCCAAACATCATTTTCTTTTCTTGGAAGGCTGGGTCTCTCGCCCCACCCTCTTCCACGCGACGATTAAGCATGCATGTCCATAGGTCTGCGCGGATTTCTTGGGTCGGCGCGCGGATCTTGCTGGGACGGGGGCGGGGGGTGCTCAGCGCAGACCAAATAAACCTGCCCATGCCTCAGGAGGTACATGCTCGTCGCTCTTCTGGTCTTCGGCCACCAGCCGAACGTCGATGCACTCAGGACTACCCCCGCGCAGCAGGTCCCCATCGCCAGCAGGGCCACGTCGTCGCGCGCACCGCCGCCCGGGTCGAACACGGCAGTGCGGCGCGGGGGCGGACAGGCAGCCGCCGGAAGCCCCGTCTGCACGAGCGCCGCCTGTACAAGCCTCGTAGACGGAGTCCGAGTAGATGGGGTCGGAGGCTCGCGCCGCATCGCCGATGAATCGTCGATGCATCGGCGACGTCGGCGATGCATCGGTGCCATCGGCGTGGAGAAACTCAGGCTCCACATCGAGCCGCATCGTCGATGCATCGTCGATGCGGAGCGATCCTTCGACACCATCTACTCGGACCAATCTGGGAGGCCTATGACGCCTGGTCGTCAGAGAAGAAAAGGCACTCCACGCCGCTGGGCGGCGCCCGCAAGCGCCGCTCGGCGGCGCGCACGGCGACCCGGTAGAAGCGCGCGCCGAGCCCAGCGCGGTCCCCGAGGCGCACGTGCACGGCGACCCGGAGCGCGGTAGGCGCCGCTCCGAGGCCCGGCGCCAGCGCCGCCCGGGCCGCGGCCAGCGCCGCGGGCGGGGTGAGCCACGCCCGCACCAGGCCCAGCCGGTGCGCGAAGTACCGAGGGTTCTGAAAGTAGCCGTGCACCATGATCGTGGTCGCGCCTATGGAGCATTTTGTAATGGCCCCCCTAGCGATAGCGGGCGTGACCGGGGGGAAGGGAGGGGGGGAGGGAGCTGGTCACGTCGCTATTCGAGCCAACGCAGTCTGGGAATGCCTAGGAATGGCTAGCTCCCGGACGGTGCTAGCGCGAATCGTGACGCGACCAGGGGCGGGGGTGGTCACGGGCGTGATGGCGGAGAGTGCAAACATGTACTCCTGGCGGGATCTCGGGCGCTTCGTACCCCATGTGGGTGGGGCTGCCGACGATGAAGTCCACGTCCGTGTGCCGCGTGAGCCAGAGCGAGGTGGGCAGCGTCGACAAGATCGCCTCGTCATCGTGGAGGTACCGCGCCCAGCTGGCGCTGGTCGACAAGCGCATCGCCATGCCATGGTCGGCCGCCAGGGCGATGGCAGCGGCGACCACGAAGAGCGCGTTGCCAAGCCGTACGCCCACCTCGGCGGGCCCCAGGGTCTTCAGCACTGGCAGCACGACGCCCCTGCTGCCGCAACTGGCCGCCAGCGGGCCTGTAGCCACCTCTTCGCCCTCACGACCCTTGAGGAGGAGCCAGAACGACCTTGTGCCGAACGCGGCCAAGCCCGTCCCTCCAGGACCCGGCGCGCCGAATGTCGCCAACCGCGCGCGCGGTTGGCGCTCGGGTGATTGGCCGCCTGTGGGGCCGCTGCATGGCCCCACCAGCGCACCGCCGGGACGCAGGGCTGCCCAGGCCAGCGCCGCCGGCGCCCTCTGCGACGCCAGCACGGCGCGTGGCACCCCGGCCGACGCCGCCGCCTCCGCTGGGGCGTCGAGCCGCTGGCGCCACGAGGCCCTCTGCAGCCTCAGCGGCTGCAGCACCCCGCTCGCGAGGGCCAGCGCGACCCCGCCGTCGCCCGGGCCCCCTGCTCCGACCGCGGCCAGCAGCTCCAGCGGGCTCCAGGCGCCCATCCGCCACAGGGCCTCGAAGAGCTGCCTCAGGGACCGCGCCGGCGCCACCAGCGGCACGTCCAGGGCCGCGGCGCCGCGCACGCCGACGGCCCTGCGGAGCGCCCACCGCAGGCCGCCCTCCCGCGCCCCCTCCGTGAGGTCGAGCACGTCCAGCAGCGCGGTGCCCTCTCGGGCGCAGAACCGCCCGCGCACGCGGTAGCGGCGCACGGGCGGCTCGTCGTCGGAGGATTCGAACCCGAGGATGGCGGGCACCGCCAGCGACGGGACGAGCTCCGTGAATCCGGCGGCGGCGTAAGATCGCTCGACCCGCGCTTCGGGGAGCGTCGGACCGCTCGTGGCCTTAGGACGCTCGAAATGGCTTCTGAAAACAAGGGTACGATGCCCAACAGGAAATGTTGTCCAAAACCGACAGCGGCCGCTATTGGACAGTCGCCCATCTGCCTCAAACGGACGACAGCGCCGACAGCGAGTGCTGCTCAAAATGGGCAGGAACTGCTTTCTGTCTTCGTCCCCAATTCTTTCCGTACCAAATTTCAATCGTGCCGAATGGCCCGGGTCGCCGCCGCGCTCAGCCCCCCCGGGGCCGCGATCAGCAGCAAGCCCCTCACAGCGCCGGTGTCGAAGAACAGCCGCCAGGCCCCGGCCAGTGCGCCAGCGGGGGCCGGCGGGCAGGTCCAGGCCGTCGCGTTGCGCGCTTCGCGCAGCTCCGCCTCGCCCATCCGGCATCGCCCAGACCTGCCGTGTCAGGGGGCCGCTTCCGGCAGCGCGCAGTGCGCGCAAGCGCACGCGCGGTCGAGCCGTGGCGCTAGCGACGCGGACTGGCCCTCAGCTTCCTCCTCCTCGTCGGCCCCCTCCTCCTGCTATTCCCCAGGTGTCTCTGCGGGCCCAAGAAAGCAAACCCCCAAACACCAGAGAACCCTCCATTCTCTCTCTTGTTTTTTTTTGTGTTATCTCTCTCTCTCTCTCCTCTACTCTCCATTGCCTATTTTGTACACTCCCGTCTACTTGATCGGTGCCCTCCACTCTCTGCTCTGATCCCTCCACTCTCTGCGCTCTGCTCCGTGCCATCTGGCCCCCTCCTCTCCACGCAGTCACTCGGAGCCCAGGCCCCGAAACCGGGAACCCGAAAACCCGGCCACCCGCTGAAGTTGACCGAAAATTCTGTCCAAGGGCCCCCCTCAGTGCAGGACTGATGTGGGAAAGAATGCGAAATCATCGATCCTTCGCCTCCTCCTTCTCATCCTCCTTCTCGTCTTCGGCTCGCCCCCTCCTCGACCTCCTCCTCCTCCTCCTCCTCCTCCTCCTCCTCCTTCCGCTCCTCTTCAACCTCCTCCTCCTCCTCGGCCCCCTCCTGAACTTCCGCCTCGGCCCTCTCGGCCTCCTGGTCCTCCTTCGTCCTCCTGCTTCGCGGCCTCTCCCGGAAAGGGCTCACAGCGCGCAGGCACCGTTTCTAAGCGTTTCTAAGCGTGCCTCCTCCTCCTTCTCCAACGTGGGCGCTCCTCTGAAGGCGAGGGAGAGGGAGAGAAGGCGGAGGGGGGGTAGGGCCGCGCAGCCATGGCGCAGCCGATCCGAACGGGAGCGCATGGCTTACTGTGGGGGGGCCTGGGCACCACCTGAGGAGCCCAGGACACCCCGGCCGTGAAGACGACGAATTGGTCTCACACCACGACGGACAATGAGGCGCCGACGTGGAGAATGAATGCGGCGATCCGGAGCCGCTGGCAGCGAAGGCAAGGACGAGACTCTTCGTAGCCTTCTTGTCGTCCTCCCAGAGCATGTCGGCCTGGGACTGCAGCGCTGCCAGAACAGCGACGGGGTCTCGAGCAGGGACCCCGAGCTTCGTCATCAGACCCTACACCGCGTCCGCGTCACTCGCCGCGGGCGCCGAAGGGCGCCGCCCCAGGCTCCACGTCCACGACCTGCTGCGGCTGCGAGTCGCGCGGCGGCAGCTGGTCCGCCCACTCGTTGGACTCGAAGCCCGACGACATGTGCACGCCAACCTCTTCGTCGATCTCGACGGCGTCTTGCCCAGTGGCCCGCGTAGCCGCGCGCCGCGCCGCAAGGCGCTGGCGGCGGCGCCTCTCCAGCTTCGCCTCCGAGAAGACGCACGACGGCGACTCCTCCTGCACCCGAGCGAGCGCCTCCGCACCAGCAGCGGCGGGCGCAGCCAGCGGTGCCACGGCCACGCAGGCGGCAGCGGCGATCGCCGACCATGCCACCGCCGCAACGGTGAGGCACGGCGCCTGGGCGACGATGGCGACGCGGGCGCCGCCTCGACGATGCAGGCGGTCCCCTTCGCTATTACGGCCGATGGGAGGGCGGAGCCACTATGGAGGAGGAGGGGGAAGAGGGGGAGGGGGAAGAGGAGGAGGAGGAGGAGGAGGAGGAGGAGGAGGAGGAGGAGGAGAAGGAGGGCGGGGGGAGGGCGTGGGCTGGGGGACTTGTCGTCGCTCGGGCGTTCATTTCCTATGCATTTTTTGCGGTTTCGTGCTTTGTCTTGCTAGATGAGCAAAGATGCACCTCGAAGGTCCTCGCCGGGGTAAAATGCACACGTCCGAACGGTGCCTAGGTGAGGAGCAGTACGGGTGCACATATTGGCGGCCAGCTCAATCATTCCTCAATCCTCCCTCCTCGCTCCCCCTCCCTTCCTCCCAACTCAATGTCCCTGCTCACTCTCCTCTTCCTCCCTCCTTTCTCCTCCTGTCGCCTGTGCTGCTCCTCTGCCGAACTTTCTCGTCGTCCTCCTCCGCCTCCTTCGCCCCTTGTCATCGTCCCCGTCCTCTTCCTGCACCACGTCCTCATCTTCTTCCTGCTCCTGATGCTCCCGCGCTCTCGTCCTCGTCGTCCCGCGACTGCTTCTCCTCATCCCGATCCCGATAATCCTCCTACCTCCACCTCCCCCTCTTCCTCCTCCTCCTCCCCTCGATTTCCTCCTCCTCCTCCTCCTCCTCCTCCTCCCGCCTTCCCCCCCCCCTGCGCCCTCCTCCTCCTCCTCCTCCTCCTCCTCCTGTTCCTTCTCTTCCTCCTCTTCCTCTACCGTGCGGCAGGACACTGGCATCGCGGATGGGGCGGCAGCGGGCCCGCCTTTGTCGGCCCCCTCCCAGACCCTGCCGCCGAAGGCGTCCGAGGCCTGCGGCTCGTGCTGGTGCGCCACCTGCGGCTCGCGCTGCTCGTGGCGCAAGCTCACGAACGCCGCGGCGCCCTCCTGCGGCGTGCGACGCTGCGGGCAGCACGCGAGGGCCCCTCGCGTGTGTTCAGCAGGGGCTGGCCGTCCCAGCATTCATGTAAGCCTACCACGGCATGGCTTTGGATTGTTAGTGCATCCACTTGTCCTAATTGCAGATGCAGTGCTCTTAGAACATGGTGCCGAAGGAAGGCGGTCTCGGCAAGAAACGCTGTACAAATCGCACGTGCAAGACACAAGGGATCGTCAGAACATGCTTCGGCGGGCCTATAGGCAAGACAGGACGCCTCGCCTCTGCTTGAGTGTTGCGCAGCCCCCGTTGAACTTGACCTACGCCGTCGCTTGCAGGTCTACATGGCCTGAGAGCTCTCTGGCCGTTCCGCGGCCGCTTCCTCCTCCCGCCGTGCCCTTCCTCTGCTCTCGCCGCCACTCACTGCGCGTGCGCTCACCGTTAGCGCGACCGCTTGTCGGGCCCGATTCGCCGCGGACCAAGAAAGTGTGGCGCTTCCCTTCGGGGCAGGCCGTTGCAGGGCGCGCTGGCCCCAAGAGCACCCAAGGAGCGCCCCAAGAGGGCCCCAAGAGGCGACCGTTCGGCTTCCAGGCGGGGGCGAGGCTGACCTGGACCTCCCATTATGTGATCGATGTCCTCCAAGACGGCCTCAAGAGGGCTCCCGAGTCCCCCAAGAGGACCCAAGAGGGTACATCGGGAGGGGAGGGCCCCACGAGAATCCCCCCCTAAGAGGGCCCGGGGATCAATATGGCACACGTACGCCGCAATGACACCCCCATGTCGGAAGGTCAGACAATACATGTGAACTTCGGTTGGGCGATCGTGCGTTGATGGCCTCACGGGCCGGGAGCTAACCGCTTGGCGGAGAAACTGCTCAAAACGTCGGACGCCTGGGACGCCAACAGCGGCTGGCGGTACGGCCTGCAGGGCTGCCGAGGACAACGACGACAACGACGACAGCGATTGCGGCGGCGGCGACCGCGGCGGCGGCGACAGCGGGGACGACGACGACGACGACCACGGTCGACGACCGACGATGACGACGACGACGACGACGGCGGCGGCGCAGGCAGCAGCGACGACGACGACCAACGACGACCAACGACGGCGGCGGCGACGACGACGACCAACGGCGGCGGCGGCGGCGGCGACGGCGGCGGCGGTGACGACGAGCGCCAGGGGCCTGCGGGGACGGGGGCTCGGTGGGCTGGCTGTTGCCGACCACGCGCGGCGGGGGCTCCGCGTTGTCCTGGGTGGCGGGCGGACGCCGTCGTCGCCGTCGTCATCATCGTCGTCGTCGTTAGTTGACGTTGCAGTCGGGCCGTTCGCGCGGAGTTGTCGTTGTCGTCGACGTCTGTGTTTTTCGTCGCCGCCGATGTCGATGTCGTCGCCATCGCGGTGGTCGTCGCCAGAGACCCCTTCGATCGGAGCCGTCGTGATCATCGAAGTCCTCGCTTGTCGTTGCCGCCGCCGCCGCGTCGTCGTCGTGGTCGCCGCTCCAGTCGCCGCTGTCGTCTTCATCGTCGTCGTCATCGTCGCCATCGCATCGGCGTTGTTGACGTCGGCGGCGCCGGCCGACTTCGTCGTCGTCGTCGTAGTCGTCGTCGTCGAGGAGCGGGGGTCGAGACTAAAGTTACATGTGTTCAAGCCTTGCTGGGCCTGGTGGGTTGAGGCCAAGATTGAATCCACCTCGCGAATCTGGCCAGACCGCACCCCATGAGATATCCTGGAGTCTGGCATCGTCGTCATCGTGGCCGTCGTCCGCAGCCTTCGTCCAGGGTCGTCGTCCGTCCAACGTCGACGTCGACGACGTCTTCGCTCGACGTCGACGTGGCCATCGTGGCCATCGCCGTTTCCGCAGACGTTTTCCGTCGTCGCCGCCGTCGTGGTCGTCGTCGACGTCGCTTTCGTCATCGCCAATCGCTGTCGTCGAAGTCGGTCGTCCTCGCCGCCGCCCATCGGCCATGAAGCCACCCTCTGTTTGCGCCGGGGCCGCAGACTGTTGGGCGGGATCCCCCGCCGCGCTCTCGTCTTCACGGCGAAGGCGGGATGCGAACTACACGAAGGCTCGCCACCTGCAGAACCCACATCAGATAAGAAACGAGCCTGCCGGCAGGTGCCCCCACGCACATCTCTTACGCTCGGTGCGTGTTATCTCTCCGCGTCCGAAAACGTGCATGCATCAACGAATGTATGTTTGGTGGCCTTTGCGCTGTCGGCGGGTCGTCACATCCCCGCCGGTCAACGCGCAGACTGGTGGCCCTGGCATACTTGGCGGGTCGCCACATCCCCGCCAAGGAAAAAATCACGGTCTCTAGCTCTCCCGTGCCGCTCTGGCCGCTCTCTCGGCCCTGGTCTGAACGGCCTACCGGCCTCGCTCGATCGCCTTCTCAGGCGATGCGACGCCATGAGACGCCAACACACTGTCCACCCCAGGCAGTATGAGGGCCTGCTGCCCCGTCACACTCGCTGAGGGACGGGGACGGGTTGGGAGGGCTGGGCCTTCGACCTCCTCAACGCCTGGGGCGGCCGCCAGCCGACTGGACTGGAGAGTTACCATGACACCACGGACGCTCGCCCATTGCACGCGAGTCTGGACCGAAGGCGGCACCAGCGAGCTGTCCTGCCGTTTGCCGCCCCCAGGAGCCTTGCCTTCAGAAATGTACTAGCGGGCCTGGGCCCTCGAACACTTTTTGGACACTTCTTGGAGCGGACCTCCGCTCCAGAGCGTGGCCTGGCCAGAACACGGAAAGCAACAACGAAGCTGCCAACAGTACATTAAGCAACGCATGCAGACAAGCATCACCTCGGAAGTGTGGCCGAGCACCTGTGCTTGCATGAGAAGAGGGCCTTAGACCGACCAGGGCCCGTCCATCGCCTCGGCCCCGCCGGGGAGTGGCGCCGCCACAGCCGAGGAAGGGGTGGACGAGCAGGGAGGATCCCCCCCGTCCAGTCTGCAGCGCAGAGCTATCGGGGCAGGGCAGGGGCACGGCTGCCGCAGGACGCTTGCGGGCTGACCTCCGCTCGGGTCCTGCAGCACAGGGCTCATTCCGAGCACCGTCTCCCGCACTCGCACACGCTGCTGCCGCAGCCGCCACTGCCATCGCGCTCGCGGCGGTGGCTGAGACCCTTGCCTCTCCCGCAGCAGAGGGCTCTCCCCCAGCGACTGGGTCGTGCTGAACGTAGGGCCCCAGGTCGTTGTCCTCTAGCGCCTCCGAGGGCCAGCATCACGAGGGCCCGAATAGTTGATTTGAACCTCCATCTCCGCAGCGAACCTGGCAGCGTCCCTGGCTTTGGCGAAGCACCCCTCAAGCATGAGCATTCGGTCGTTTTCTGGCGCCTGCAGCTTGGCCCCTTCTTGGCCCGCGCATCCGCAGGCCTTCTTGCCGTGCAGCTCGGGCATGGTGAGCCCGCCGCGCGTAACCGCTGCCTCCGAGCGGTGGGCGGGAATGTGCCTGACGGCGACCCCTTCAACCGCGTCGGCCACTCTGGCCCGGAGGTGCGCATTGAAATCGGTGGGCCCCTGCACCTTCTTGGGGTTCCGCACGGACCTGAAGGCGCCCATGCAGACGAGCAGATTGTAGTTGCCGATGACATCCGTGAGGGCCACCACCGCCGCGTAGTCTTCCCCAGCCCGCGCCGTTTGGGGGGTATCAGCTCTGGGGGAACAGCGCCCAAGGCTTCAGCGATTAGCTCGCCAGTCGGCGCCAGGACGATCACCGCCCACGCTGCACACCTCAGCTGCGGGAAGTCGGCGTGGCTGCACGTCCCGTCGGGGAAGACGTGGGCGCCCTCGGGGACCACCAGCGCAGCATCCCAACCTCGAGCCCACCGCTCCCACTGGGCCTGCCACTGCGGCCGCTGCAGCAAGGGTGCCAGGACCACGCAGAGCCTGACCCCGAAGAGCTCGAGGAAGGACTCGTCCGGCCTGCGGACCGTCTCGGCTGCACGCCGCAGGTCCTGAGGCAGCCTGTCACGCCGCCAGGGTTCCCACCCTGGGCAGCGGTAGCGCCTGTGGAAGACCGTGCCCTCCTCCTCCCCGCACAGCGGGCACTCCGGGTTGATGCCGGATCTATGTTTGGCCACTGCGAGAGCGTGACCAACCGGCGGAGGCAGCCGCAGTGGCGCTTCGTCCAGACCTCCGTCACGATGAGGGCATTGGACAAGGAGCCATTGGACCAGGAGTCCAGTGTCTGGAAGCCAATGGAACTCCAAGCGAGCCTCGGCCATGGATATCACCGCCGCCCTCATCAGATAAAGTAATCCTCTAGGGTCTGGAGCCTTCCAGGCACATTGCTTAACGAACTCCCCCACCGTCAGAAGCCAGGCTGCCAGCAGGTGCCCGAATAACTGACATTTCGTATCCCCCCCACGGCCCTGGGGTTCGCGGAGGTCCTGGCGCCGTTAAGTGATGTTGAAGATTCACAGCGAACGTGCTCCTACAATTCGTCGCGCAAGATTAATTATCGCAATTGTCGATGTAAGCCCCGCCGCCATTAAAGACGAGCGTCACGGTCTCGGTTGGACTTTGAAGTTTTCTGCCTCGCTGAAGCCTCTTGGGGTGTCCTTGTCCCAACGGCCCGATCCGCCTCGAAATCTCGCTCAGAACGTGATCGACACATCCCTGCGGCGAATTCACCGTGGAATCCAGGAGTCGCGGAGAAGTCATGACGGGTGCCGTTGACAGCGAGCATACATCGGGCGCAACCTCGAAGAAACTGCGAGTGCCCACCAGCCACTGTGGGAACCGTCGCCCTGCTTCTCCTCGACACCAGCCTCATCGTCCGCGTCATTGTCGTCATCATTTTCGTCCTGATCATCCTCTTCCACCTCCTTATCCCCCTCCGTTTCTCTCCCCTTGCAAGTCCCTCGCCCTTCCATCTCCCTCGACGCCTCCTCCTTGTCCAAACCCGTACTTCCATACGTCGTTCCTCTGTTCACCGCCGCCCCATCTCCCGAAGAAGGGAGGATAGACGAGGGAGAGTGACGAGGAGGAGGAGGAAGAGGAGGACGACGACGAAGAGGAGGATGGGCCAGGACATTCAGAGCCCCTTGGCGACATACAAGCCTCTGCATCAAGTTTCTCTCTTGCAAGCGCGACGCCACTTCATTCCCAGACAAATCACACCGTGGAAATTACAGAAGTACTATATGGCGCCGTGGCAGTGAAGAGCTGCGACAAACGACCACCCCTAGAGACGTGACGGCGCGGCCTGTAACATGGCGGCGTTCCATTACACCTGGCCTGCTGGTGCGCATCCCCGCCTCGTTCTGCCGCCTCTACCGGGCAAATGGTGAGGAGGAGGAGGGGAAGGAGGGGGCGAGGTAGGGCGGAGAAGGAGGAAGAGGGCACTTGTTTTGTTAGGGGGATAAACAATGACATAATCAGAACAACTCAGAGATGCGCGCGGATTTTCCGGATCGGCGCTGGACCCCCTCCCTGGAGCGCGGAGCGCGCCAAGGGAGGCGCCGGAAGCGCCGCCAGGAGGCCCCAACGCCGATCCGAGGAGTCTAGGCGGACCTCCGAGTTTCTACATTATGTCACTGCTTGCTCCCCGATAGACGCCAGCTGGCGCGGTACCGCCTCCGCGAGCCAGCTGGCGCGGCTTCCGAGACCCCGATTCCCTCCGCCCGCGCCGCGCCGCGCGCCGCGCAAGAGGAGGAGGAGGAGGAGGAGGAGGAGGAGGGGGAGGAAGAGAAAGAAGAGAAGAAGGAGGAGGAGGACGAGAAGATAGAGGAGACGGAGGAGGAGGAGGAGGAGGAGGAGAAGGAAGCGGAGGAGGAGGAGGAGAAGGATGAGAAAGGAGGAAGAGGAGGCAGAGGAGGCAGAGGAGGCAAAGGAGGCAGAGGAGGCAGAGAAGGAGGACGGGGAGGAAGAGGAGGAGGAGGAGGAGGAGGAGGAGGAGGAATGGGAAAGGGGAACTCTCGCGCGCTCGCGGCACTCCTCGCTGGCGTAGCGGCTCGACGCCTTCCCCTGGCGCGGGCGCCCAGGAGGTGCAGGGAGGGGGGAAGCCTCCTCCTCCTCCTCCTCCTCCTCCTCCTCCTCCTTGCCTAGGCGACGACAGGTGGGGGAGAGGGTACAGTCAAAACTGATAGCAAGGATATGGGATGCAAGTGCCTTGGAAAGCCATGCCGACACATTTCGAGCGGGGCTGGGCATCGAAAGTGGTTCAGGATGGAGCGAAGAGGCAAGGATGCTAACAGCGGTTTCGACTGTAGCCTCGCGTGGCCCCAGGCTCCTCTATCATCGCGTCTGCTTTTGCGCTTCCCTCTGGCGGCCTCCGTTCCGCACCCGCCGCGCCCGCGCCGCGGGCGCGGGGGGCTCTCAGAGGGTGCTGGGCGGAGGTGCTCCTCCTCCCAGCACCTCCTCCTCCTCCTCCTCCTCCTCCTCCTTGCCTAGGCGACGACAGGTGGGGGAGAGGGTACAGTCAAAACTGATAGCAAGGATATGGGATGCAAGTGCCTTGAAAAGCCATGCCGACACATTTCGAGCGGGGCGGGGCATCGAAAGTGGTTCAGGATGGAGCGAAGAGGCAAGGATGCTAACAGCGGTTTCGACTGTAGCTTCGCGTGGCCCCAGGCTCCTCTATCATCGCGTCTGTTTTTGCGCTTCCCTCTGGCGGCCTCCGTTCCGCACCCGCCGCGCCCGCGCCGCGGGCGCGGGGGGCTCTCAGAGGGTGCTGGGCGGAGGTGCTCCTCCTCCCAGCACCTCCTCCTCCTCCTCCTCCTCCTCCTCCTCCTCCACCACCGCGCCGCGAGGCACCGAGTAGGCGATGGCGACGACGACGCCGCCGACGGCGGCGGCGACGACACCATTGCCGCTGGCGCTGCGAAAAAATTGCAACATCGCGGTAAATCACCACCAGAGCTGTAGAACACATTGTCCTGCTGCATTTTTCGCACCGGATCGGTCAGCGAGGGTCCCCGGGCCCGAAACTGGGCGAGAACGCCCGCTGTAAACAACAATTGCACTGCCCAGATCTGAGGGTCGCCGCAGACGACGGCCGAGGCGGATCCGTCCTCGTTGCCGCTCGCGCCGCCGCCGCCGCCGTTGATCAGCTGGAGGCGGCGGCAGCGGTAGCGGCGCCCCGCGGCCTCCCGCTCCGTGCCTGCGGTGACCCCGTTGATCAGCTGGCGCGGGGAGTCCTCGGCCGCGGGGAGCTTGCTGCGGACCGCCTAGCAAGGCTGCGGGTTGCGCGCAGGCAGCCCCGCCATGTGGTCCCGGCTGGCCTCCACGGGCCCCCCGAGTAGTCCCGGCTGGCCTTGGAAGGCCCCAAGACGCAGTCAATACAGCCCCAGAAAGCCTTTACACGGCCCCCAGATCAAGCAGCGACGACGACGACGGCAACAATCATGTTAAAACTGTTCGCATTTGTCTGTCCGCGTGCCGTTCAAATCGTAGACCCCATTCCCGCGATACCCGCCCTCGTCGTCTTCGATCGTACCCCTTGGGGGGATATCTTTATTACCTGCAACGTGTATGTCGGGTAGTCCCAAAGGCAGGGGAAGGGAGGACGGATGGAAGCAAAGGACCAGGGGAAGGGAGGAGGATAGAACACGAGAGAGAGAGTAGTACGAGGGGGGCTAGGAGCAGAAAACACGTGGCAGAACCAGACGGGCAGATCGGGCGGGTTGAGCCTTCCAGGCGGGTCGGGAAGGTGGGCCCAGGATTCTCGAATAAGTCGTGAGGAGATCCACAGCGAGAGCGTGATTCCTGAGTGTCGAGGGCGCGGCGTCTGAACAAATTACGAGGAAGTCCCACTCGAAAGCGCGATGTCTGCAGAACTTGTAAGGACGCCCCGCGCGAGTGCGCGATTTGAGAATCCATTATGAGGAAGTGACAAGCGGGAGCCACTGTTGTTGTAAACCGGGGGCCAAGGTAAAAACAGGATGCGGGCCCCGGGAAAATTGCAATATCCAATGTTTTCTGGGGGGACCTACAACAACTATTCTTTAGAGATGAGAACTCAACAGTCAACTTACTAATATTCGCTCTTTCCTGCTCACGTGCCACTCAACACGTATATCCCAACCCTTCGATACCCGCCCTCGTCGTCTTCGATCGCACCCCCTTGGTGGTATAAATCGTTCCTACCTGCAACGCGTATTTCGTGCACCCCCAAAGGCAGGGGAAGAGAGGACGGATGAAAGGAAAGGACCAGGAGGAGGGAGGAGGATGGAACACGAGAGAAAATAGCAGGAGGGGGGCTAGGAGCAGAAAACACATGGAATAACCAGAAGGGCAGACCAGCGGGTAGACCCTAACGGGCGGGTCGGGAAGGCGGGCCCAGGCGGCCAGGTCGAGCAGGCGGGTTGCTGAAGCGTGCGTCCTGCATGGATCGCGGGGAAGTCTCGAGCAACAGCGCGATTCCCAAATAAATCGCGAGGAACCCAGAGAAAGAGAGAGAGAGAGAGAGTGAGAGAGAGAGAGCGTGATTCCTGAGTGTCGAGGGCGCGGCGTCTGAACATATTGCGAGGGAGTCCCACGCGAGAGCGCGATTCCTGCATGACTTGTGAAGACGTCCCGCGCGAGAACGCAATTTCGGAATACATATTGAGGGAGTATCCGGCAGGAGCCGTCGTTGTTGTAGCTGGGAGGCCAGGGGCACAGTTTGGTGACACCTAACTTCCTTTTATAAAAAAGTACGAGCCCCGGGAGAAGCACTTCAATTGAAAAATACAATGGTTACCGGGGGGGTCGTCAAACATTATCATTCTATAGAAGTGAAGGTTCAACGACGACGGAGACGACGACAACGACGACGGGGGCGGTGAGGGTGGCCGCGGCTCCTTCGGAGACAGAGGCTGCCGCGCCAGGGGCACCGGCGGCGGGCGCGGCGGGGTGCCACGCGGCGTGAGCTGGAGCGGCGGGGTGCGCTGGCGCGGCGGGGTGCCTCTCGGCGTTGCCTCGCGCGAGGGCGGGGCGGCCGCGGGCGGCGGCGGCGGCGGCGTCGACGATCGAGGGTTCGCCGAGGGCCCGCCAATGGCCCGCCAAGGGTCTGCCGAGGGCCTTCCGAGGAAGGTCAGCCGAGGGTCCGCCGAGGAGGGCCCGCCGAGGCCCTTCGAGCCCTCTGGTGGCCCCCGAGGCCGTCGCGACGACGGAGATGGCGACGACGACGGCGAGCGTCGTCGGGGAGCGGAGGAGGATCGAGGTCCGATCGCCAGGGATCGTGTCTCTCGTGCGTATCGCGGCACAGTTTACGCCCTGTGGGGTTTACAAAGGTGGAGTGGAATGGTGGAGGGAGGGAGGGGACCCCTTCCCTCCTCGCTCCTTCTCTGTCTCCTTCTTCTCCTCCTCCCGCCTGGTCGGCGGCTCGGTCCACCTCTAAGGCTGGCACGAAGCAGGGGTTTCTCCCAACGCTTCCCTGCGGCCTGCCCAGGGCCTCCGACTGCCCGCCGAAGGCCGCCGAGGGCCCGCCGAGGAGGGCCCCGCTGGGGGCCCTCCGAAGGCCCCGCCGAAGGCCTCCGAGGACCAAACGCCCGACGACCGACGACGACGACGACGACCTCGGCGGCGGCGGCGGCGGCGGGGACGACGACGACCACAGCGGCGACGGCGACGGCGCCGGCTACCTTCGGCGAGGCGCCGTCCGCCCGCGAGCGGCCACCCCGCGGCCCACCAAGTCCAGCGAGCATGAGCGCGCCAGGGCCCAGGGCGCGGGGGGGCGGCTCCTGCCGGTCGCGCGGGGGCCGGGCGGCGGCGGCGGCGGCGGCGCAGCGGCGGCGGCGGCGGCGCCGTCGCCGTCGCCGTCGTCGTCGTCGTCGTCGTCGTCGTCGTCGTCGTCGTCGGTCGTCGCCGCTCGTCGGTCGTTCGTCGTCGTCGGTCGTCGTCGGTCGTTGTCGCTCGTCGGTCGTTCGTCGCCGTGGCTCGCCTGTCATTGTCGTTCTCGTCGTCTCGGAACAAGGGAAAGCGAGACCACTTCCAGCGCGAGGAACCAGCCCAGACACGATCGTGTTCTGAAAAAATAACGACTGGAGTTGTTGTTCTCCATTCTAGGCCTCATGGGGGCACTCGCCAGGCCCTGGCATTATCAACCACAAACTCAGCTGAAAAACAAAACCTGGGAACGGGACGACTGGGGGCCCCGTATGCAACAAGTCAGGGCATCGCATGCCTGGGAAGAGGAGCGAGACCACCACCAGCGCGAGGAACCAGGGGGGGGTCCTCCTGGTGGAGTGGCCCCCCGTCCCCGCTCGAGACATGCTGCGCACGCCTCAGCAGCTCGTGTGGGGAAAACTTGTCGGGGTGCGCTTCTCAGGCGTGGTCCGGCGTGAGCCCCGTGTGGGCGGCCATGCGCGAGCGCTACAGGTACTGGTCTGCGCACAGCCGCTCGGGCGAGGGAAGTCCGAGGTTGGCCAGGGCAGAAGAGCCCTCGAGGTGGCAGGTGTGAATCTGCTACGTGAGTGGACCGCGGACACCACAGGAGACAACGCTGCCGGCTGTCAATATGCCCATGGCAGCCGAGGATAAACGAGCGCATGGCAGGAACGAGCACCTGAGCTCATGAATTTCAGCCGCCAACCATTCCTTTGACGATCGGCAAAGCACGTGCTGGGCTCTGCTGCTGCGCGAGGATGCCACGCAGTCGACACCGCCTGGCGGGCAGGTCCAGACGCGGCTAATTTTATCATCGTCACCGTCGTTGTCGTCGTCCTCCTCCTCCTCCTCCTCCTCCACACCGCGCGCCGCCAAGCCAGCGCGGGTGGCGGCACAAGGACGACAACGCGCAGCAGCGGGACGGCGCCACAACACCGCGCGCAAGGAAGAAACGGAGGAGGAGACAGAGAACGAAAGGCATACGTATATGTATACACACATAGGGAGGGAGGGAGGGAGAGGGAGGGAGGGAGAGGGAGGGAGGGAGGGAAGGAGAGAGACTCGAGAGGGAGAGAGATAGAGAGAGAGAGAGGAGAGAGAGAAAGAGAGAGAGAGAGAGAGAAAAACAAACAACGATAGAGAGAGCATGGGAAGCAACAGCGGACATCGCACCATCCCTTGGCGGATGTGGCTTAGAGCGCATCCTCTTCCAATTCTTCCCCTTCGGGGAAGGGTCTACCCCTCTCCCGTTCCTCTGCACTGGCCCTGGACGGGGGGGGGGCGGGCAAGGTCCAGCTCGAGGGCCCGTGTTGCTTCAAGATGGCCCCAAGATTGCCTCAAGGATCCCAAGATGATCTCCGAAATGGCACGCTGTGGCGTAAGACGGTAGCCTCGAGGATGCCTCCACGAAGCCGCACGACCGCTTTACAACCGCTCCAGGTGGGCGCGGAGCCTCTCCCTAGTGCGCCCAAGAAGCCGACATCCTTGAAACAACTGTGGGAACGAAATGATGTGAGCCGTCTCGCCCTTTCGCTCCCCATTTGGCTTTTGAGACCTCAGGATGGCCCAGGATGGTCCAACAGAGCCGATGCAGGTCTCCAAGACGGCTCAACGCGCGCCCCAGGATCGCCCAAGAGAGGTCCACGAGACGACTTGGCTGGTCCCAGCGGGGCGATGCTCAAGAGACCCCCCCTCCATCATTCTTTGACCTATGTCCTCCAAGATGGCCCCCATGCCGCCATCAGGAGCCCAAGAGAGCCCGACTACAGCCCCAAAGTCCCCTCAAAGGGGCCCCAATAGGGCTTCACTTATGGCTTGAGGGCGCCTCCAAGACCGAAGTACCCGCGAAGGCCTCGACGGATGCCTCCCGTCATTGTCGTCGCAGACCTCCTCAAGCATCCTCCTCATCTCCCCCCTCTTGCTTTGCTCGTGCTCCCTCGTCCTCGTACAGCCCCTCCTCCCAGTTCCCTCTGTCCTTCCTCAGGACTTCCCATCAAGGTCTAGTGGGAACACAACCCATGTACATCATCTTCCTTCTCCTCCTCCTCAGCACCCTCATCCTTGTATCTTCCTCCAACGAAAGAGCGACCGAGGCACATATATAGGCTTCCTAATCATGGTTCCAATGCGTATTGCACAGCTTCCCTGGATATCGTTTCGGGAAGGGCTGGCGGGGATACGCCAAGCATCATGAATCTGAAAAGCGGTAGAAGTGGGGATCAGGAGGACGATTGAGAGGAGCACCAGGGGACGAGCGAAGAAGGAACACATACACCATCACATGGTGGGACAAGAACGACTACGGCAAGGAGGATGAAGAGAACAATGGGCAGTAGGAGGAAGCGATGGAGGGGTGCAAAGAGAAAATGTGAAGATTAAGAGGAGCAGGAGCACGGGAATCGAAGAGACGAGAAGGAACAAACGATAAGAGGGGAACAAGATGCAGTGCCGCAGGAGGAAACCAGTGAGGAGCAAGGAGGTGGAGGACATGTCCGAGCAGCAGGCCGTGGTGGGGGACGATGCAAAACGAGATTGGTGACGATGATGCCAGCTGCGGGGCGGCGCCAGCCATACCGTCAACGACGGCGGCGATGCGGACGACTGAGACGACGGCGGGGGTAAAGACCACGGAGATGACGACGAGGACGACGTGGAGGAGGACGAGGACGACGACTGCCGCGAAGACGACGGCGATATTTCATGTCCTCGCGTGGCGTCAGAGCGCGGCGCCCACGGGGTCTCGGGGCGGGAATCCGGACCTCCGGTGGGTCGTGACTCCCTTCTTCGACACGGTGCCCCTTTGAACCCCGACGTGCCTACACCTTCCCTGGCCCTCTTCCTCCTCCTCCTCCTCCTCCTCCTCCGCCTCCTCCTCCGTCTCCACTGAGGCATACACTGTAACGGTGTGGCTTGGCAGGTCGCACTGGGGGCTTCGGGGTCCAGTACGGCGTGGTTCAGCTTCATCGTTACATACTGTGTGCTTCTGCGGGCCTTCTGGGCTAACAGAAAACATCAGGAAATCCATCCCCCCACACTTCCTTCCTCCTTGCTATTCCCCTCCCTGCCCCATCCTCCTTCTCCTCCTCCTCCACCTCCTCCTGCAAATCATTCCTCCTCCGCCCTGTCCCCCTCCGGCCTCTCGTCCTGCGCGGTCTTCCTCCTGCTCCTCCTCCTCCTGCTCCTCCACCTCCTCTCCCTCAACCTCGTTCGCTCGTCCGTCTCGTCCTGGTTCCGTAGTCTGGGCCGATAGCTGGCTGTCCAACGGGTGGGACAGGGCCCCCAGATGCCGAAATCCACAAAGCACCTCCGGATTGATATTCTTACCAGGTTGGAGTTCTGCCACCCCACTACCTCTCTCCATGGGTTCGTTCTGAATAAAATGTCGCAACGCAACCGACCTTGGCGACTAGAAAACTCCCGGAGACCAAAACAGCATAGGAACGCAATCCAAAAACGATCTCCTCGAACGTCGCTCCCAACCAACATCACATCAAAACCTGTCCCCGACCTCTTCAGGGGCACATCGCGGCCAGCTGTCATTCTGGGTCGATTTCCCGCGGTCCTGGGCCATGGAGGCCGACGCCGAAGGCAAACAAAAGCCCGGTGCGATTCTCCCGAAACTACACCCGCGGCTCGCTTCTGAGTCCGTTTGGCGTCTCGGGCCGTGCGGCCGCTGAGTGGGCAGCCGCACGGGTCAAACCTGCGATGCCGACTGGGCTCGATCTGGGCCCCTTCGGCGGCCGATCGGAAACAGACACCGAATGGGCTCACAAGGGGGCCCCGTGGAATCACGACGTCGGAGGTCTGGGAACGACACGTTCATGCGCAGGCTGCCGTCGAAGAACACCGTGACGTTGGAGCCGTCGGGCAGGCCACCGCGTACGCGCTCCCTCGCCAGGGGCGTCAGCAGCTTCCTCTCGACGGCCTTTCGGCTGCCAGAGCCTCCCCCTGCTACTCCTCCTCACCCTCATCCTCGAGTATCGATTAACCAAGCCAAAACATGAAAATAACTGCATCAATGGCCCCCCGCCCCCCTCCGAGCCCTCCACGTGCTTCGGGCCATGACTCGCGAACCCCCCTGTTGGACGCCCCCGGAAGATCAGGGGTGCCGGCAGGGAGACTGGCCCAGGGGAAAGGCATCGGCCCCCGATCGCCCAGTCTTTACCCGCGGCCCTTCGATAGGACTTCTCTGAGCGTGAATGATGAGCATCACCAATCCCAGAAACTTCTAACATGCAACGTTCTGGCATTGTACACCACACACACACTCAATTTCTGCATGGTATTGAACACGAGATTCGAAGTACGTGTTTGAGCGTTATTTGGCAAAGTGCGGAAAGTTGCCGTGAGAAACAATGCCTGGCAAACTAACACAGGAGCTAGGGAGGGAAGAGAAACCACCTTAAACAGCCGTCGCACAGGCGAGCGAGTCGTGCCTCATCTGCAACAATCTCCGCCGCGAAGTGCGGTTCTCAGCCGCATCGCCAGGTAGATCCCGATGCAGCCATAGCGGAAGGACTACGCGCACAATCGTGACACGCGGGAGGCCTGTCTGCCGCATGGACGCCGCGCTGAGAATTTTCAACACCTCGGGCCCATTATCGTACGCGCGGGCGCTGTTAAACGGGTTGGCGGCGGGCGTCGCCGTCAGGGCGGCAGGCTCGAGCAATCGTGCCGTGCTCTTGTCGTCGACGATTTCCGTCAGGGTGGTTTCCGCAATGAGAATATCCTCAGTTAAGGTCTTGCGGTCGGCCGCGTGCCACCTTACAGGGCATAGGCTCAAGCCAACGGCCTTATCTACCTATCGGGATGTGTCCGCGGGCTCCTCGCCAGACGCGATCTCAAAAACGAGGCGCTCGGTGTCGTGGGTGCCCACCAGGCTGAAAGCCACGTCCAAAAGCACAAGTTTGTGCACGAACTTCGAAACATCCTGGCAGTTGTAATCGTTGACGTCGATGTCCAGCCGCACATGTACCGCCGACAACTCACCAACTGTACATCTCGCTATCACACACGACGGCGTCGGTCCGCAAAGAGGTCCCGATAGCAGCAGGTGCGCTGTGATGGCGTCAGTGCTCTCATCGTCGGTGGCGCTCGAAGAGGGCAGGTGGTCAGTGGGCCTATCGACAGCTTGGTGTTTACGCTCACGGGCCGAAGACCATATGGATGTAGTCGTCCGCGAGAACACGGTCCAGGTGCCGCATCATCTTCGATGCAAAGTCGATGCTCGCCATAACGTATGATGCGGCCCTGGATATTCATGGCCTGCCTTGGCCAGCCAACGCCTTGCATGAGCAAGTCCCTGCGGATAGCCCCCGAGCAGACAAGAACTGGCGCACATGAAGCGGTCATGAAACTGGCAGGGTGAAGTCTACTAAGAAGGCCGGCTCCGCATTCATTGAGACAATGGCTACGGATGACAACGAAGAGGAGAGGAGTGCGAACTATAATGGGTCCAGGGCGCGGCATCGATGCTG